TTTGGTCATAAATTTTATTTTTCGGTTTACAAATTTTTGTTCTACCAAGGAGGAAATATGTCAAGGCCAAAAATAGAAGAAGAAGAAAACTTACGTTCCTGTATACTATCTTTGTTCAATCAAGGAAAAACTGAAGTCGAAGCAATGAAAATAATTAAGGAAAAGTATGGAGAGATTTTGACAAGAAGCAAGTGTTCGTGGTGGTATAACGAGTTCAAACAAAAAAATAGAAGTGTTGAAATGGTCCGACAATTAAAATCATTTAAAAAGTTGGAGAAGTTATTGGATGAAAATCCTTGTCAAACAGCTAAGGAATTATCATTTAAGATGAACTGTTCATTGAGTAAAGTTCAAAATAATCTTCGTCGCATTGAAAGAGTGTACAAGAAAGGCTGTTATATTCCTAAAGCAATAATTAAGACGGTATTTCAACAACGGCTTAATACTTGCAGGCTTCTTTTGTTTTCGTATGAATCCAAGACAAAACCGATGCAAATAACGTTTTTGCAACAATTGATACTTGAAGGACAGAAGTGGGTAGAATACAATAGTTTAGTACAAGAAGAACAATTGCTTTCTTCCGGAGAAGCAACTGTTTCGACACCTGAACCATCATCATCAATAACAAAACAGAAGATATTTGTTTGTGTGTGGTGGGATTATTTTAGAGTCATACACTATGAATTGCTTGAACCTGGTCAGACCGTTACAGCTATAATGTATTGCGAACAACTCGAACGATTGAAACAAAAACTAATAAAAAACGGATCTGTTTTCGTCAATGGAAAAAACAGGATCCTTCAACAAGATAACAATTTCATAATAAATACTCCATTTATAATACATACAAAATTAAATGAGCTTGGATTGGAACTTTTACCTAATCCACCCTATTCACAAGATCTCTTGCTATCCAAAGATCTGTTCAATAAATTAAATGCTTCAATAAGAAGTAAAATCTTTAACAATGTCGGACAAGTGAAAATCTTCTTGAAAGAATTTTTTCATACAATATCAAGCTATTTTTGTTCTATTGCAGTTAAAAATTTGCCTAATTTTTGGAATGCAGTGGTACAAAATAAAGGAGATTATTGATATTAACATTATTTATTTGCAAATAAATATTTTCGAAAGAAAGAAATTTTGATTACTTTTCGGTCCCCAAACACGTGCATATTGGGGTGGGTCAAAAAAATGGCTTTATTCAAAGCACCAAAAGTGTTTAACCTCAAAATAATATTAAAAATTTTATGTTAACAAATAATTGATTATTACATTTGTATAGTCTTTAAATAATATTAATTCCACGTTTCTTAAAATATTTTTTTTCGGAGCTGTCTATAGCAACAAGACTTTTCGCGTAATTATTTAAACGAGTACTTTATGAAAAGCAGCGCGCCCTACCGGCAAAATATCTTGTCCCCTAAATTGATACCATTCTTTAACATTACGTTCGGACTCCTGGTATCTATCCTCCGTGTTCATAGTCATCCCTTAAGACGATATTAAGAATTACAAAACTGTTGATGAAATCATAGTCAAATAAGATCATCTCATAACCTTACTTTTTACTTTAGAAACGAGAGTTTTTTTTCAAATCAACATTTTAGTAGACTTAAGACAATCTCAGTTAACAACTTTATGGTTAGGAAAATTAATTAATGATAATAATAAATAATAATCAGACCGTTACATCTATAATGTATTGCGAACAACTCGAACGATTGAAACAAGAACTGATAAAAAAAGAATCTGTTTTCGTCAAGGGAAAAAATGCATGAATTATAATATGAATTATTTGTGTTTTTTTTTTTGTGATATTTAATCATTCATTTGTATTGATGTGATAATTATATTTTACGTATAAATCATGTAATTTAAATATAATGTATTTGTAGTTATATTTAATTTAAACATAAAGAACAGTACAAATATGAATAAACTAAATGATATAAACAATATCTATATTAATATTTCAAATATTTAAATTTGTATATTAATCATATGGGAAAGATAAAATTGTGACAACAAAAATGTTGATCATAGTTTTTATGTTTTTGTAATATCCAAAATAGATTAATTAGGGTTAATTCCGAGCGGCGTTGTATTCTATGCTGCTATACAAATTTTGATTAATTTTGTATTTAAATGTAATTTTTTCAAAAAAAAAAAAAAAAAAAAAAAAAAAAAAAAACTGCGTTAAGAACTTAATAAAACTGTAAACAAACAATTGAAACGGGTTTTATAAATTACTGTTTATTTTTCAAATATGATCCGTACTAGTTTTATTTACAATACTTCATAGATGTAACGATGATAATATTTGAAATAACGTTAGTTTAAAGCTAAACTAGATTGATTTAGTTGATAAACTTTATCAAAAAAAAAAATTTAAATTTACAGAAGTATGTTAACTCAATACCAGCTTTATATTTACATGTATTAGAAAGATCAAATGTAATGAAAATTTCTTCGATGAACTCATTTACATTTTGTTTTGTGTCGAGGCAACACGGTGCCTGCAAACACGGAAATTTTGTTATTACGTTCAATCTTGCTTGTAAATTTGATCTTTCGGTTAACAAATTGTTCTTCTACCAAGGAGGAAATATGTCATCGTCAGAAAAATTAGAAAAACACTTCCATAGATGTATGCTATCTTTGTTCGATCAAGGAAAAACTGTAGCCGAAACAGTGAAAATAATAAACGATATTTACGGGGAGGTTTTGACACAAGGAGAGTGTCATATGTGGTTTCTCAGGTTCACAAATGGAAATAGGAATTTTAAATGTGTCCCAAAAACAATCACTAATGATCATTTATTGGAGGAGTTATTGGATTTAAATCCTCGTCAAACAATTGAAGAATTATCATTGAAGATAGGCTATTCAAAGGTAACAATTTATCGTAATCTTCATCGCATGGGAAGAGTGAGGAGGAAAGGAATGTGGGTTCCTGGAGCATCGATTGAGACGGTGTTTCATCAACGGCGTAACATCTGCGAGCTTCTTTTGTCTCGGTATGAATCCGAGACAGTACCGTTGCCAATGACGTTTTTGCCACGATTGGTAATTGCAGAAGAGATGTGGGTGGAATACAATAGTATTGTACAAAAAGAACAATTGCTTTCTTCCGGAGAAGCAACTGTTTCGACACCTGAACCATCATCATCAATAACAAAACAGAAGATACTTATTTGTGTGTGGTGGGATTATTTTGGAATCATACACTATGAATTACTTGATCAGACTGTTACAGCTACAATGTATTGCAATCAACTCGAACGAATGAAACAAAAGCTAATAGAAAGAAAATCTTTTTTCGTCAATGGAAAAAACAGGATCCTTCAACAAGATAACACGACACGAAATACTTCAAAAATAGTACAGGAAAAAATAATAGAGCTTGGATTGGAACTTTTACCTAATCCACCCTATTCGTTAGATCTCTCGCCATCGAGTAGCTTCCTCGAAATTTTTGAACTTTCATTAAAATGTAGAAATTTAAACAATGCCGGTGAAATGAAATTCTACTTGGAAATGTATTTCATTGAACTATCGAAATCCTCCTTTTATAAAAGAAAAATCGAAGAACTGCCTTGTCTCTGGCGTAAAGTGTTAGAAAATAATGGAAATTATTTTCAAGAATAATATTTATTTCGCTAGACCAACAACAATTTAAATACAATAATACTTATTTTTGCCATTAGGTCGGTATGACGATCAGTGTAATCTTATTAACGTGACGGAAAACCGTTGATCATTGCCTAAGCGATTGCGTATTTGTAAAAGAAAACACAATACATATATGTAGTTTATTCTTTTTTTTTTTTTAACATGTATAGTTCATAACTACGTTAGTTTCCAAACATATAAACTATTGTTAAGTATTTAGAATTAATACGCGAATATATTTACTATTGTGTTATGAACAAATTCTATGTTCATAAATGTTTTATAAAGAATTATTTTATAATAGAAAAACAATTTTTTTTTTTAAGTATTTCTTCATAAATTTAGATCTATAAATGCGTTATATACTGTACATTGAATAAGAAATGTCATTTTTCATTGTTATTAATTTATTAATTAATAAACAATATAAAATCTATATCATTATATAAAAATTTTCTCAATTCGTTAGTTTGCTTGTTCGTCAAATTTTAAATAAATAATTTAATAAGCAATAATTACATACATTTGTTGATAATTTCAGGTATGCATAAATAATTTTTACTTAACACATTAACAGCCGACGATTTAAGAACATTTAAAGCCTGAGCACGAGTCGTCATCAATGAAGCCAGAACGCGGAACATTTCTACCCCTTTTCTCAAGCCTAGCACGCCTCGCAACAACAAAATTTACTTGTCGGTTTGTCGGAAAACCGAAAGAAGCCGAGGGAAGCCGAGATAGCTGCACAATAGAGAAGAAATAATACCCCCACCGATACGTAACATTTCGTGTGTCGAGGCGTACTGCTGGGCTCGAGAGAAGGGGTCGAGATGTTCCGCCATCTGGCTTTATTGGTCGGCGCTCATGCGAGACTCAACTTTGCAACTACAGCGCACTCTGGACTAAAACTTTATTTCTTCCACATTTGGCGGACACTTTTTTTTTATACAGCGTTCGTTCTCCTGTGTTTCTACATATAATGTATATTTCATGGTTAATGTAAGTTTTAAAAGAGTAAATAATAAATTTGTATTGTCAATTTTAAGGTTATAGAAAGTTGAAAGATTTTTAATGATATTACAGTAACATTAAAATATCAAATAAAATAAGTATTGGTTGATGTTGACCTTATATTTTTAAGCTGACATGTGAAAATGTGATTTTATATAAATTCAAATAATGATACAGATATGAACCGATAATATATAAATATTATTTGTTTAATAATAAATATTTATTTTATGCATATATGTATATTTTATAAAATTAAGTAGAAATAATTTTCTATAAAAGATATCTATATATATATATATATATATATATATTAATTTTTTAAATATGAATACTTTAACACGATGTCCTGGTATTTATTGCGGAAGAGAATTATTATTAAATAAAAATTGGAGTGATTGTGGTGCTTGTCCTCGTGGATTTAGAACAAATGGTTCTTCCGCATGTATTCCTTGTGAAGATACACCTATAGCCTATGATTGGTTATATCTTGGATTCATGGCATTGCTAGCATTAGTTTTACATTGGTTTTGTATCGATGGAGTTTCAATGAGACGAAACATACCTAAAGAAGTCATTGCACTGCATCTGTCAGCATTATTTGAAGTTTTGAGTGCATCACTCATTACTTTACAATTAACCGATCCTATCGGTACATTTGAAATAAGATCTTGTAAAACACGTCGTCTTTCAGATTGGTATACGCTATTACACAATCCTAGTCCGAATTATGAAACAACTTTGCACTGTACTCAAGAAGCAGTATATCCTTTGTTAGTAACATTTTAATTGCATATTTCAATTTTTTCCATGAGATTTCTTTAATCAAAAATTTGTATATATATATATATATATATATATATATATATATATATATATATATTTGTATTAATTAATTCATACTTTATTATTTTGTAGATATACCATGGTTTTTGTTTTTTATGCTCTTGGTATAGTTATTATGTTGATTATAAGGCCAATGATAGCACAAAAGTTCTTACCTAAACATGGAAAATTTTCAATATACGCTGCTCTATATTTCTATCCTATTTTAGCACTTTTACATGCTGTCGGAGGAGGTCTCATATGTAAATAAGCAATTAATCATAAGAATTTCTATTAAATTAATAGAATACATTGAATTTTTATGTATTATTATTTTGCAGATTATTCATTTCCTTACATCACTATTATTTTGTCAGTCTTATCTAATGCAGCGCATTTTGCTTTCAAATTAAATCAGGTAAATAATTTTATATATTGTTATTATTTATACTTATGTATATCGTATACATTTTATTAGTTCTAATCTATTATTTTTTTTTTTTTTTACAGACCATGAAGTCCCTATTACTTAGTTCAGTTACAGATGTGAAAAATGCAATAGTAATAATTGGTCATTGGTTGTTACATGGTTACGGAATAGTGGCTATTGCTAAACTACGTGGCATTGATTTTCATCCTGCGATGCTTATCTTGGTTCCTTTACCTGCATTGTTTTATATTTTTACAGCAAGATTTACCGATCCACATAAAATTGATATACAATAAAAGGAAAAATTGAAACTTGGACCAATAAATGAAATAGTTTCAATTTTAGGTGTAAATATATTATTATTTATCATTAAAAGCAAAGTCACTTATTTATCTAAAATTTGATATCAATTTTATTTATAGTATATATATATATATATATATATATAAATATATATATAAATTATATATTATTGAGTATTTAAAATAGTATTTATTCTTGATCAAAACATTTTTATATAAGAAATAAATTGTTAAGATTAAATTACTGTATAATCTGTTCTAAAGCAAACTTTTCTGTTGGATAGAGATTAATCATTATTCACCTATGATTTAAGTTAGCATTAAATATCCTTTAAATGCAAATATACATATATGTAAATAAAAGTTTTAGTATACATGGATTTTATTGGTTCAATATGTAATATTATTAAATATTTCTCTTGGAATTGTAAATAATATTTAAAAAAAAAAAATATACAACTTTTTAATACTTTGCCACACTTTTTAATGATATAGTAATTTTTTTAATTAACATCAAGCAAATTATTTGCATCAAATTATTACATTCATTATAAATATTGAATATTAAATGCATTAATTATTATTTAGTATTAATTGTTATCATCCTTAGGAACAAAAGTTAAAATCAGTGTACTCTTGGGTGATATAGGTACCATATCTGAAGATAACTTTAACCTGAAAAATCAATGAATAATTTAATAAGATTTGACAATGTTTTAATTTAGAATATCCTAAACTTCATGTACTTACTTCATTGTATCTCCTTCTGGAGCATAATTGGGACTAAACGTAAGTATAGTCACTTCTTCGGGTATTCCAGGTATAGATGATATATCTATAATCGTAGGATGTTCGTCACTTTGATATGCTACTAGGTATCCTGGATTACCACTTTTTAGCCTAAAAATTAATTTTAAAAAAGAATAAAAAATAGTGTATTTAAAAATTTGATAGTCCATTAATTGGATTAATCAACTCGTGCATGTTATAAATAACCCATTGCACTATAATTTAACTTGATATGGTGCTTATGTTTAATTTGTAAGATTCATCACAAGTATGATTTATGTTTCTCATATTAGGGTCATAAAATTATCACGAATCTCACGAGTTTTTATAGTGTAAGGGGTTAAACCACATAGATCATAATTCCATATGCTAGGTAATAGATCTACTTGAAATTACATGTAAAGAAATGCATGCAGTATGTTAGTAAACTCACCAACTCCTATGACACATAGAAGGTAGCATGAAAAAAGGTAAATTAATCTTTGGTTAGTTCATTATATGAAAGTATTTATCAGTTATATACCACAATTATCAATGTAAGGAATAAATTTCAATATAACAATTGAATTTTAAATGGATCAATATTTGTGTTATGTTAAAATATGAATAAAACCAATTGGTCTATTCTTTGTAAAGTTATTAAGTAAATAGTTACGTTTAATAATTCCCACTATTTGTTAATAATTTATCAGCAAATATTTAACAATTATTATACATTAAGTAAATTGTTATAATATTATATTGATATACTAAATAATTATTTAATATGATCTTACCTCGTATAAACAAAAACAGTTCCATTAACAACTCTAGTATCAGTTTCACCATAAAGGAATGTCGCACTTATCCGAGCTTTAGCTAGTATTGCAAATGAATGTTTGGGAGATAAAGTATCATTTAATCTAAGAATAGGTGTTCCTGGTAAAAGCATAGACATTAGGGTTATGCTATCGGCTATATCTGGTGCCATTCGTTGTCGTAAACTATATTGTTCTCCATTTAGCTATAATCAGTAAATATTATTTTACTTACAGAGAAAAAGTATATATATATATATATATATATATATATATATATATTAGATATTTTTATTTATTTTAATAATGCTTACATCCCATCCAGGCCAAGATGAAATAGATATCCACTGTGAAATACCTTTATTTAAAGTAGTTGCATTTATGCTAGCATTTGCTGTAGTCAGAAATTGTGAACTTTGTGGAAGACTAATTAATGTTTTTTTCTCATTGTAAACTTCTAAAATATCTGCACCAATGTCATTTTGCAATGCAAATAAGCTGTGAAAATTTTATTAAAAATTTATCATATACTTATATACTAAAAAAATATATATATATATTTCTGTATATTTTTAAATACTGAAATTAATAATTACCCTTCTCCTTTAGTTTCATTGTAAACTATTTCTTGCCATTTTGTTAAAATTTTTGCATTCTCTGGTCGATCTCGCGTGTATACATGAACTAATGATTGATAATTATCAACTTCGGTTGGTATTGAACTAAGAGATTCATCTCGTAAAGAAGGATCTTCTGTCAGATATTGAGTATTTGCCAAACGGAAACCACTAATTCCCAATGTCAACCAATGCTTCAAGATATTCTGAAATATAAAATAATATTAATATAAATAAATGTATGTTAATCCATTCACATATATAAATTCATATGCAAGGATAGATTATTAAATCAAAAAAATAACTTACTCCAAATTCAGCTAACACCGTTGGACTAGAGAAATTCAAATCTGGCTGAGTTTTTTTAAATTGATGAAGATAATATTGGCCTCTTTGTTCATTCCATTCCCAGGCAGAACCTCCATTTACGCTTAACTATATTAAAAATCATATATATATATACATATTGAAAAAGATAAATTTACATAACACTTGCAGATAATTATAGTATTTTAAAATAATTATAAGAATATTAAATATACCCAATTATTAGGAGGTTGTCTTCTACCATCAGAAGTAGTTTTTCCATCGGCCCAAATATAATAGTCCGTGTAGGGATCTTTTTTAATAACAGATTGTTCAAACCACGAGTGGTTTATAGAAGAATGATTAGGATCTAATTCTAAAATAAGATGTTGATCTTTTTCCTTTGCAGCTTTGACAAGATCTTCTAAATCATTTAGATCACCCAGTTGAGAATCTAATTCCATGAAATTATCTGTATGCCCTAAATAATATACATAGAAATAAAAATAAGATGTGATCTATCATCTTTCTTCTTAAATAATTATTAATAACAAACACGATTAGCTTTTTATTTTTATTTAATATACCTTGTAAACTTCCTTTCATTATTGGCGGTAAAGAAATAGCTTTTATATGTTGTTCCTTTAATTCATTCAAGAGTGATTTCAAACCTTTTAAATCTTTAGTTGGCGAATCAGAAAATTGTAATTTAACGATAGGACTTTCTTCCCACCATTGTTTAGGTTTAGGTGATTCACACTTTGGTGCTACAATAATAATCGCTACAGCACCAGCAAGCATACAAACCCATAATACCCAAAAACTAATAAATAAAAACCATCGTAGGCGAACCCAAAATGGATCATTAGCAAATTTCATCAACTCTTCTTTTCCCATTCCAGAAAGTATTTGTTTAGGCGTTTCAATATCAATTTTTGCATCCCCATTTTCTGATATAAATTTAACCTATAAATGAAAGAAGATAATTTTATTTGGATTTAACAACACTGACAAAAGTAATCAATTATTATTATTATTATTTCTTGATACAAATCTGTGTCACTAAGTGAAAGCATGACGTAATTTCGTATATTTCTTGCAAGAGTTTTTTCTTTCTTTTTTACTTACATCTTTTTTAGTTCTCAATCCGTATAATAATCTCATAATCAATTAAATAAATGAAATATTTGTATTTTATTTCAAAACAAAAGTAATATACTTTATTATACAAATTACGAATACGTCATGGTAAATAACCAAATTATGTTGGAAAAACCATATACTTCTTACGTAAATTTTATCCTTATTTTCTTCGTAGTACAAGGAAAGAATAAATATAAATAAAAGAAAAGGAAAGAAAAAGAAGAGAGGTTACGTTCTTTTATCAAATAACGTATAACATATGTATTGATTTTTAGTACTCTCCCTAGTATTAGCACAAATCGATAAAAATCTGTCAGAAAAATAACCTAAATCAATGAATGTAGGTCAAATGTGTATAAATTTGATACAATGGTTACAAATTTGTTACAATTTATTGCCTTTTTTTTTTTTTCGAAGAAATAAGAAGTTCCCACTTTAGTGTAACAAATTTCTAAGAGATATAATAAAAAAAAAAAAGCAAGCAAGCATGGAACATTACCTCTGTGGCATCTTTAGTTGGTGAAATTTTACTCTCGTCAGTCAGCATTCTCTCCTTTGTCCCATCATCGAGATCATTTTCACCCCCATTTTGTTTTCCCATGTTTAATAGTTCGTTAGACTTCAATTGTTGATCAAAGGAAACTGAATTAGTCTCATCCGTCTCGGATTGAAACGTTGGAACGACTGAAGACGGTCGAGATGATTCCTTCGCTTCGTCGTTATCTAAATTCTGTCTCCCACTCTCCATAGTTACGTTATACAATGTTCTCAAGGTCTTAATATATAGGTATATACATATAGATATATATATATATATATCACATAGGCCACACAGAGGACTTTGAATTGTTTAATAGAATTCTTTGCTTACACTGTACATTCACCCCAAACTATCTCTATCTCTATCTTTATCTCGATTCCTCTCTGTCTATCTTATCCAACGTAGTTTAATTCAAATCTACAAATCTTAATAATATAATTTAATTAATTAACAAATCACGGATAAAATAATATTATATGTCTTTTTATTTATAGATTGTGCTATTTTTTATTTTTATTATTTTTATCATAAAAATGATCAAACATAATATATAGATTTAAAAAAAAAAAAGAAATCTATATTATTTTTTGTAACTCACCTTAGACTTTGACACCACCCAACAGCATCCACTAACAATACTCGAATGAGATCGAATAATTCTTTTGCGCAACTCCCCGGTGTCGTTAAAAATTCAACGATTCTTTTTATTCCTATACTTTCTACTTCGTAAAATGAACTTCAAAAAATAATATGAAATATGTGAACAATTTTGATGTAATTTAATATATTGCTTTATAAATCGTTATTAAGCATGAGTAAGGAAAAGAGAGTACACGTATGAATTTTCAGGGCTGTATAATATATTTTTTGTTTTCTTCGTTTTTATGCTTTCTTGTCATTTTTTTTTTTTTTTAAATTCAAAAGGTTTTCTATTTATCTGTATTCTAATTTACGATGGTGTTTTTTTGTTTTTTATTTAACATTTATTTTGTTATATTGTTCTTGAATATATATATATATTTATTGTGAGAGGTAAATTAAAAAAAATTTTCATGAAAAATAAATTAAATGCAGATATTCGGTATCCTTGAGAGAGATGCCATCTTCAGACATTTTTTGACATTTCTTGAATAACAAAAATTGTTTAACTATTTTGTAAAAGGGGTAATTTTAGGGATAAATTTGTTAAATTTTTATTAAAGGCATTTTGACAAGATTTGGACTTAACAAGGGTGTCGAGAATAATAAATGTTTTAGAAGCATTAATTTATAATATATTATATTTTATTGACTCGGGGGTTTATAATGACTAGATTCGGTACTTTGGTTGATCTGTTTAACTTCAAAATTAATGTCATATGACATTGTTGATTTATCGATTTTTATCGAAACCATTATTTCCAACAGACATCATAAGGCGCGAGATTTAAGTTTCCTCTTATATATATATATATTATATATATATAAAGGATGTTACAAAAGAGAGAAAAAAGAAAACAAGCCACAAGAAATAAATAATTAATTTATTAATACGTAAGTAAATTCCAAATTATTGTTTTTATATTAGAGCTGTAAACTTTTCAACACATTTACGCAAAATTATTACATTTTATTTGTTATTTAATGATTATGAATTTTCATTTGTATTGTTGTGAAAAAAAAAAACAAAATATGGGTCAATCCGAAAATTATAACATTTGTATCTTATAATTAATTTTAATTTGATTTCAATTGTTTCCAATTTTTGGAACACCCTGCATATATATATATATAAATTGTGATAAAGATGTATAAAAAAAATGTAGGAATGATTAATAATATAACATGTTGATTGAATTAATGAAAATAATTTTATTATACACTTCTGTATTTATTAATAAATATTTCTAGCTGTTAATACGTTAACGCGTGATCCGTTCTTGTATTATTTAAGCCGATCACACTTATTAAGGATTTAGCTTTGTTGTGATTATAGTATCACTTTTCTTACTATGCTTATATAGAATGACAGTAAAAGTCCATTACTGCAAGAACTTCGTGTTCTTGATTTCTTGCTTTCTATTAATAAATACTTGACTGGGAACGCTGAGTATATATATATATTTTTTTTTATCATGTATATTTATCTTAAGTTTCACTTAAATGCTATATTATTAATAAATAAATTCTTCTCGATTGTTTATACAAAATAAATTGAAAATACAATTTGATTTTATATCTATGATATATATATATATATGATAATTAAAAATATTTCTCCTTTCTCTTTTTAAATAAATATTTCTTTTATAAAATCATTTGTAAAACTTGTTATCATTACTATTGACGATTACAGTTTTTTTTTTTTTTT